CATATTGATTTTGCTCTAGGGCAGTACAAAAATGTTTGTCGAAGAGTTGAGTTGTGTCCACAATAGTTGCAAGGGTCTCGTGTGATTCGAAATGTCTTAGTCTCTACCTAGTTGCTCAGTCGTTGTGCACAAGTAACCATAAAACAAACTTGAGTTGAAAATGTATGGGTGCACGATAAAAGAAAAGGTTATGAAACCAAAAAACCATCTTCACTTCCATAAGCGATTAAGTTTGGCTACAGGAGGAGGGGGGAATGTAGTAATTGATACATGTGAGAAACAGAGTTCAAAGATGTTTTCGAGAATGCCAGTTTCAATCACACCTCCAAGAAGAAGTGGAAGATAGATGATGTTTCAGATCAGACTCTTATGGAAGAAAGGTATGCGCAGCTAAACGAGCTTGAGATGGAGTAAGGGAATCAACATGTTGAATATCAGTCTTCGAGTACCACTCTTTGGCAATAGAACCAAACTTTTCTGGCGGAGTCATCATGGAATGATGATACAAGATTGGTCCAATTCGAGTGAAAGTAGTTCCCATTGAGTGATTATCTGGATATGTGGCTTCCACCAGAGTGACATGGTAGGGAAGGATCAGCCCTTACTCATGGCCAAACCAAGCTACACCATGTGTGTTGTCTTAGTCGCCCTCTTCTTCCACATGGCTTGAAGAGGGTCCGTGAGTTAGTTAGCACGCACATCCTGTAAGATCGGTCCATATTTGACGCCCATATGGAACCACAGAGGAAATTGCTTGCCTAAACGAGACTTTCCATGGGCCGGGCCTGTCCCGTAATAGCCTTAGTAAACCATTGACCAACTAAAGCAATCACCTGGCGTTCTATAGAAAGAAGACCCAACCCTCCTTAGTCCTTAGTTGAAGTGCATACTGACCAATTCATTCGATGAAAGCCATGCCCAGAAGGGCCTCCCCACAGGACTACTGAGCTTTTCCAACTGCAGGAGTGCCATCTTGGAAGGGCTCCAAGCTGACACATAAGAAGCATAGCTTCTAAGGTTCGAGAGCACACAAAAAATCTTGAGGGCGCAACTCTTTCCAAGAGCACAATTCTTGTTTCACTCTATTCAAGCCACCCACATTTGGCAAAAAGTCAGTTGTTGTCCAAATGGGATACCCGGCACAAGTTTGCCATCCATTGAACATTAAGCAGGTAACGAAGTCCTTAGAGGAGAGCAAAAAAGCCTCTGATTTGTGGTAACACATGTGGCAAAAAGCATCTTTGCCTAGAACGCACTCTGGGGCCCGTTTCGCTACCTCTACACTTGCTGGCTCCACGTGTTGTTGTTGGGCACAATAGAGTGAAGTTCAAGGGCTTCTTGAGTAGCGGAGATGGAGGTAGGATCCGCTTTCAAATCCAAATTGGTGTCATCAGCAAATTGAGAGAGAAGAAGTTGGCGATGATTTGACAATCGAAGCCCTTTTCTTAGGTTAGGCTTTTTTTTCTTAATGGGAAAAGATACAGCCCACAACGTCCGTTGGTAGCAATAACAGATAGGGCCAGTGCAAGAGAACATCCTTGCCGAACAGATCGAAAAATTGAAATTGAAAAGGATGGCAGCACAACTCCATTAAACTAAGTAGAATGGCGGTGTGAGCATTCATCTAGTTGGTTGAGACCATGTTTCAAAAACGAGGATAAAAAGTCAAGCCTTTTGGCAATACGCCAATCTCCCTCTCCCTGATTGCGCTCTCCTTCCTCTTTCTTTCGTCGAGGAGAGGAAAGACCAAGCTCGTAGCAGTGGTCGTTTTATCCTGTTCTTGATCCAATGTGGAGACAAGTTCTGTTCGTTATACCTGACTCGTTTAAGAAGAGCAGAAACTCTTTTGATTCAATAGGGGGTGGAGTATCAAAGGAGAAACTCTAATACGAGGTAGGGCACATATTTGTGTTTTCTGTGCTTCTTGGCCTCTCCTTGATCGTGCTCTCCTTCCTCTTTCTTTCGGAGGAGAGGAAAGACCAAGCTCGTAGCAGTGGTGGTTTTATCATGTTCTTGATCCAATGTGGAGACAAGTTCGGTTCGTTATACCTGTCTCATTTAAGAAGAGAAGAAAGTCTTTTGATTCAATAGGGGGTGGAGTATCAAAGGAGAAACTCTAATACGAGGTAAGGCACGTAATTGTGTTTTCTGTGCTTCTTGGCACTGGCTGGCCTAGTGTTACCTATAGCAATACCAATTGCTAGTCTATTAAGATTGATTTTCTTTGCTAGCTCTCTTTCTATATGAGAGATTACATTGATAGCTACTAGGGTAATCAGATCAAAGGTTAGCCAGCCAATAGAGCCCCCCGCCCGATTTGGTATATAGCCAATCTCTCTTCTATAGCACTGGTGTATTGATAGGTTTATGGGTACTCATCTAGATAGCACTACTAATAAAATAGAAAGGTACTGTATTGATATAGCACTAAAGCCCAGAGGTATTGTATGAAAATAGTCATGGATAGCCGATTGGAAGCTGAAAAGAAAAAGCAGTAAAAGAAAGCCCGCCTCTTCTTCATTCAAGGCAAGGCTCTCTATTGGCTTTGCCACTACTTCAGTTGACTTAACTCTCTCCTGACTTGAGTTAGTAAAGTGCAATACTAGAGTGGGCTGGCTTCCCGCGGTGTAAATGGCCTAACCCGCCCGTCCCTTCCACCTTAGGCTAGCCAAGGCGTAGCCTAGGGATTATTGCCTTGCCTTGATCTGCTGCGAACTCTTTTGGACAAGAGTTGATGTCCCTCCCGGATCAGGGAGCATTAGGATATGATATAATGAACGCGGAGCCCTGCTTGCTTCTTTGCACACACCATCAGCCTGCTTTGTTTCGAAATAAGACAGTCGGTTCGTATAGAGCAGGATAGATCACTGGTTTTTTAGGGCCAGCCTTCGAACCAACCACGGACTCTTAGGCGAATCACCTCTATTCCGTTCTGTCCGAGTTGAGTGCAGTCTTTCATTGATTTGCTCTGTGAAGGCTTTCCCCCTGTTCCACTCGTTTGTTGTAGCAAGCAGTAGGAAATGCTTCTGTTTCGAGAGAAGCTTCGCAACCTTCATTTGTCTGTCTTTCCACCAGGTCCTCGCCGTTACCGTTTTAGGATCCTTTGCCCCTTTCTCCCTGTCCTCCCGATCATATTTGAGGTTATAGCACCAGGGAGGATGATTCGAGGAGCGGAGCGTTAGCGAGCAACGAGTGATTACGAGCCAGCGAGCAGCCAGTGGTAACAAGTAGCGAGTGATAGCGAGCCGAGTGTTCTACGCGAACTTCGCCATGTCTATTGCACACCCCCACCATCGAGCCATACACGCGAAGAAAGAGGTTAGCCCCCCCTTCTTAAAAAAAAATCATTGAGTCTGTCAAGAAGCAAATCGTTTACGAGTGCTTTGCTGGGCACACTCAAACAAGAGCTTTGCTTTTTGCAAAGCCCTCATCCGCGATTTGCTTTGTAGCCAACGAGCCCCAGCAAGTTTAGTCGTTAGCGCAACGCGCCAAAAAGCTAGGAGGGCAAGCCAAGTCTTGTCCCTTGTGTAAGAGTTTGCTCTTGCGAAGCCAGTGGCTTGCAAAGCAAGTGGTAGCAGCCCCCGCAAGGAGCAATTTTATGTCTAGCCTATGCTACATAAGCCAGTGGTAGCCAAGTCTTGTCAAAGCCCTCGTTGATGAGTTTGCTCTTGCGAAGCACTCTCAAACAAGAGCTTAGCTTTACCTGCAAAGCACAAGTTTGAGAGTGCTTCGCAAGAGCAAAAAGAAAGCCCTCTTCAACTTGTGCTTTTACCTTGCTACTACATTGCGTAGCAAAGGCTTCAACTTCCAATTTTTTAGAGGGCTTTGTTTGCTTGTTGCTACCACTGGCTTCGCAACAGCAAAAAGAAGGCTCTCTTATTTGCTTGGACCTTGCTACCACTGGCTTTGCTCGTAGCCTACACTGCCTTCACAGGCTCCACGCTCATCAGACGTGTGGCAGCCACGATTGCATGAAACGACCAACTCCTTTTATTCATTCTTGGCCAACGACCTGTACGATCATTCTATAGGTGGTTGGGTTGGCTCTACAAGGAGAGAGTATGATCATTCCTTTCCGAACCAAGATTCTTCTGTATCACAAAAAACCATTATAGAATTCCCTATGACCACAAACAACCTGTTGCTTATCTTATAGTCAACAGCCTGTTGTATTCAACTAAACTGCTGTTGTTATAGTCGTATGGGAAGAAGAGGATGGTACTACAAACTTGAGGATCAGAGAAAGCATTCCAAAAGAAAGTTAAGTTCTTCCCGGTGTTGTTACCGCGATTGATCTGATCGTTTCTGATAAGAGGGTCGCCAGGTGTAACCCTTTCCTAGTGATACTCCCACATTTTTTAATGTTTCAGACATCTCATTATGCCATGGTCGCCTTGCCATTGTGATCATTTTTGTCACTGTTGCTGCTGCTGTTATTGTCATGATTACTCGTAATGCTATTAGTTTCATTTGTATGATATCAATGACCATATCTTTTATCAATAATCTCAAATTTGTGAGCATAAAGTGATGTCTCTTTGAGGATTGTCATGTTGACCCTTAAAGCACCCAATTGCATCTTAATCTTAGTGACTCACTGATGATTCTTGATAGATATTTGCTTGTACTTCGGCCCATTTGAATTGAGCACCACAATGCCTAACATAACATTCCATGATATTACCCTCATGTTGAGTACCCTTTCAATTTATTTAGAGCTTCTTGTAAGTTAATTTTTGGAGTCTCCGAGGAGGATGATGTCGGTCATCTTTAACCTGGTTGTAGTGGTTGGATTGGCATTCGATTGGACTACCTGCTTTTCCAGTTTGAGGCCCATTACAACCTTGACCTCGCTGTAGTACATGTACTTGCTTCTAAATTACATGCTATGCATTGTGTAGTTTTTTCGTTCTGATAAAAATTTCGGAGTATTTCAAAATCCAAACAATGTAATTGTCCTTTTTGTAAATTTATCCTGAATAGTTCTTCTGCTGATGCAGGAGTCCTGCCCGTCGGTTAAGAACATTCTCCTTCTGGATTCAGAAGGGAAGCGTGTGGCTGTCAAGTATTACTCTGATGACTGGCCAACACTTACTGCCAAGCAAAATTTTGAGAAATCTGTGTTCTCAAAAACCCAAAAAACTAATGCTCGTGCTGAAGGTGATCCTCTTATGTATTTATTAATTTGTTTGTAATTGTTAATTTTTATCTTTATGTAATAGTTAAATGTTGAAGGGGATACTCTTATCATGCAGTGAGGTCATTTACATGTGGAATATGTATTTTAATTTTCTTGAGTTGCCTCCTATAACTTTGTAGACCATAGTGTGTTTTTTGCTTGAGACTCCATTGGGGAGTTGCATTTGGTCGGTTTCATGCTTTGGGCTATTAGAGGCATTTGGATGCAGGTTAGACTCTTTGCACTAAGATGAGCAATTTGGGTAGGTGGTGCACTTGTATCCAATTTGGAGGATTTGTGAAACAACTTGTTGTTCCTATCAGTTCAGCAGTAAAACCACCTTGAAATGAAACAACATGAACTGGAATAATTAGAGAGATTTGTCCTACTTTGGAGTAACGCTTGACCCACCCCAGCAATGCCCCTCACCTCAATTAAAGGTACATTTTGACATGGTCCTTTTTGCTAGAGCCTAGAGGCTCTATGCTGCCCCTTACTATGTAGCTGACAAGCCTTGCCAATGATATTTTTCTTTTGAGAAAATACTTTACCTTGTCATTGAAGTTTTCACCCACATCTTCATCATTAATAGCTGACAAGCCCTGTTATTGATTCGATAGTTGTTAATATCCACTCTTATTTGTGATTGAAGATATCTGCAAATGATAACTATTTGAAAGGGTAAGCCTACAATAAAGACCATTTACGTTTGGCACAAGGAGTTTACAGTCACCCTTCCATTTATCGGGTTCAAAGTTCAACAAAATTTTTCTCGGACATTGGGGTCGAAAAGCAAACTGTTGGATTTCACATCTGACAACTAGGGGTGATTGTGACTGTCTTGGGCCAAAACCCGTCTTATGGCATACAATCCCATTTGAAAATAAATATGTTCATGCCATTTATTTATTTTTGACATGTGGATGCCATCATCTTAAATATTTCTTCTGTTAATTTTTCTGGTTAAATTAAGAATCTGTTTGGAGAAAAACATAAAAAACTTGTTCCAATCCTTATTATTTATATGATAATTTGGGAAGTCATTTTGTTCGTTGTTAAGCCATGGTTCATCATTAAATTTAGTGGTAAAGAAGCATTAATGGGAAATTCTATTGTTTTTCCATGATCCTTCTAATAGCAATTTTTGTCATTGTTGCAGCGGAAATAGCCATGATTGAAAATTATATTGTTTCATATAAGTTTGTCTCCGACCTACACTTTTTCGTCACGGCTGGCGATGATGAGAATGAACTCATTTTAGCAACAGTTCTTCAAGGATTCTTCGATGCAGTTGGCATTCTATTAAGGTTCTCCAAAACTCTTCTTGCACTGCCCATATATTATGAATGATTGTCCAGTGTTCCATTTCGATATCCAATTTAAAGCATAATAATCTTCATGCATCCGTTGTCTCCCAAGCACATGTTTGATTTCCTTGTCATTATTTCAGGAACAATGTTGATAAAAGGTCTGCTCTAGAGAATTTGGATCTAATTCTTCTCTGCCTCGATGAGATTGTGGATGGGGGGTATAAATAAGATGCACTTCCTTGTTTTTATTTCCCCCCTTAAAACATGCATTTTAATATGGATTTTGTTTGATTTTCGTATGTGGATGTGTTTATTTCCCCCCTCTTGCGAATAGCATGATAGATATTCATACTTGTTACTGTTTGCAAATGAGGAGTTTGAAATGGATCAGACGATTGAGTGCTGCATTTTATGTTTTGTTTTCACGTTTTACAGGATTATTCTAGAAACAGAAGCAAGTGTAATAGCTGAAAAAGTGGCGAGCCAAGGTCTTGATGGAGGGGCACCTCTGTCTGAGCAGGTGAAGTCTTCCATGTCCTCTGTCTGTCTCTGTTGTTTCATTTGGAATGGTTGCTACTTTACACCCAATTGGACACTGAATTTCTTCCTCTTTGCACAGACCATATCCCAAGCAATTGCGACAGCTAGGGAGCATTTGGCTAGATCACTTCTCAAATAGTACTTGAGCAATATCGTCTTTTATTTCAGTTATGTCATGTCTTTTATTTCAATACATCTGTGGAGCCTTGCTTTTTTAGTTTTTAGATTTTTTTTCCTTCTACATGATAATTCTGACTGACTGGACTTTTGAAGGATGATGATAATGGGTGAGAGGTTGCCTTAAATTTAATTCTTCTTGTCATCTGCAATTCCCCTTCCAATGAAATTTCAAGTTTCAAGTTTCCAGTTTGACAATATACATTCTTTTAATTTGTGCAGCTGGGTTTGTCTCCTTGTGAAACTTTATGGGTATTCTGATGTCTAAGTTTTTCAGATTTATTTCTTCTAAAATTTACAGTGAAATAGAAATGCTGCCAGCTGCAAAAAGGAAATGCACAAGTGGAATATTGGCGAATAAGCCATATTCATCAAAGCACTCGTGTTTCAGTGTGCCATGTGCCCTGTATTGCATGTTTTGGACAAATGAAAATGTAAGGCTTGAACACTCAGGGAAAGTTTTGTTATTTTGCAGAAGTTTTGAATATCAGTCTCTTTATGAGGGTTGGAACAATTGTTTCATGCGGGCTGGACCGCATTTCTAAATATGTGGTCCAGAGTAGATGCAAATAGGTGGTTCATCTAGAAACAATCGTAACTAACGGTCTAAATGTTTTGAAAATATAATTATTATTTTTAGGTTTTAAAATTTATTTATTTTTTCATATTCATAGCCTCCTTGTTAAAGATTATATATTATCTACAAATTAAGATCAAATTATATTTAAAAAACATATTTATTGCCAAGCCCGCATTTCTACAGTATGCAGGCTGGCCGCATGCTAACCGCATCCTTTAGATTGTCGAGTATTTGGAGAGGTCGGGAATGGGAAAACTGGATAGATTTTGCATGTGTTAATGTGATGGACCACGAAAAATCAAACCGGAATGTGATTAACCGGACATGAGCTCAGAATCGGAATGTGATTAACCGGACATGGGCTCAGAAGTGGTTCAACCGGACTAACCGGTAAACCAGTCGGTTCAACTGGTGAATATGTGCATATTCGACAACAAAATAGTTCAGATGTAATGGAAGTTTTATCTCGTTTTTATACAAGGATAGATGTGAATGTACGCCTTAGAAGTATATTAGGATTTCACTTTCGAGAGATATTTCCGCCTCTGTAACTCTCATGTTGTAGTTATTTATTCATTTAATTCTTCGTTTTATTTATTTTTTATTGTTCATTTTGTATGAAATTTACATTGATGGTTTTTGTAAAGCAATATATTTGCAGACTTGATGGTAATATAGATCGTCTGCTGCAAATCATCACTCCCCGTAGAGAGCGTTTTAAAACACGAATGTTTCAGTCCTTGTTGCTTAAGTAGAAGCAACTCCATATTGCGACGTTGAAAGTCAGAGGGTTCAAAGGTCAAGCCCGACTAGCATTTGGGCTCCAATGCAAAATGATAATAATGACAAGTATCTACAAACAACTACTACAAAAAACAAACATCATTATTATTAGGAAAATTGTTTCATGTGGGCTGGATCGCATGACTACCTATGCGGTCCAAAAAGTGTAAATCATCCATCTTAAAAGGATGGAAGTAGGTGTTCCATTTAAAAAAAATGGAAACTATCAGTTCAAATGTTTTTAACTAGAATTATTATTTTTAGTTTTTAAAATGTATTTATTTTTTCATATTCATGATCTCAATGTTAGAGAATACGTGTCCTTAAAAATTAAATCTTAAAATCCAAAAGGCCTGCATTACTGCATATGTGGGCTTGGCTGCATGGAAACCAGGTCCTAATAATAGTGACAACAACAATTATCTACAAACAACAACGATGACAACAACAACAACATTATTATTATTGTTATTATTGTTAAATTTAAAAACGCTCCTTGTGCTTTATTTCTAAGGCTCAATTCTCCGTTTTATCTTCTCGAGGTTCATGGCTGCAAATGGAGATTTCGAGAGGGCGGACTCGCTGTAACCAGTATGCAGCTAAATCCTAGCTAATGATGATAGAAGAGCTTGCATTTCAGTTCAGCTATGTTTGTGTGGAATCATCAAGGGCCAAAAAATCAACAGACTGAGAAATAGGAATGCAACAATTTATACACAAATTGAGACCATCAAAATGTAAGGACACAACATGCGACTGAAATTCCGATTCAAGAGAAAGGGATCACAAATCCGGTTCCTTCAGTGCTATAAGAAAAACCAAATCCTTTGTAATCTTCATCAATCACCAAATCCATCAAAATCAACAATTAGTCAGGTTTTTCCTTTCTTGATGAACCGTGCGCTAAAATGCAGCCAATGAAAGTCAAGGAAATGATTGCTTTTTTATTAGTATTTAAAAAATCACCGGCGCGACTCATGACTCGTTCGAGCTGGATGGGACTAGGAGCCATGTGATTACATGATGGAAGTACTCTGAAATCACTGAATGTCCCAAGGTTTCATAGTTTTTTAAATTTTGTTATTAGAAACTCCTTGGTCTTCAAACTCGACCGAGTCGGACTGGAACGATTCAGGCCCTAGCCCTTGGCCAATCGGAGTTTAAGTCTCACCCTCTCATCACTGCTTCCAATGAACCCAATAATGGATTGTAAAATTCCCTCACATTCCAAGAAAGTACCCTTTGCATTAGATCACTACCCTATATTTTTCCCTTGCTTTTGTTTTCTTAGGCAGTTATGTTTTTCCCTAATTTGCTATTTGTCAAAGATTGTATCTTGAAATAAGTAGCAAGGTATTTGATCTTATTTCTTTGTGTTCCTTTCTTAATGGAAAATGTTTTGATAGGACCAGTGTTTTAAAATACGCCGAGTCGAACCGGACTCGCCCGGTTCGACTCGAGAATCGGCACAGTTCGTGCCGGTTCTAGTATTTTACACGGAATTGCCCGATTCCAGAGAGAACCGGGCGATTCTGTATAGTGAATCGCCGATTCACTGTACCGAATCGGCGAGTCTCGTGAAGAACACGGGGCTGCACAGTGTTCTTCACGGGTTTATTCAAATTTTGTCTTTTTTTTTTATCATTTTTCTTCTTTTTTTTGCCATGTGATCTAATATTCAGGCTTTAAGCAGCTTTTTTCAGCGTTTTCATGCATTAAATGGTGGAAAAATTTCAATATTTTGGATCATAAAAATTGCGGGTTTTAGGGCTTCCGCTTTTCGTTTTGTTTCATGCTAAATAGGGTATGAATATGTGAAAAGTTTGAGGCATATTGATTGTAAATGTGTTCATTAGAAATTTCTGTTACGAATTTGTGATTCTTTGAGAAAAACAGATTAATTTGGAGATTGAAGCCACGGGTTCAAGAAACCAGGTAGGAACTCGGCGTATTTTTTTTTTTCCGCCATTTGATCAATTTCAGTCCATATTTTGAAAATAATCAGTTAAATTTGTAGGGTTTTAAATCTTTATCATGTCTTTTATCATTTACCATATTCAATTTTATTTAATTTACTCAATTACAGCCTGAGTTTTTAGAAGAACACAGTGATGTCGGTGAAAAAAAAAATTTTGCTTTTTTTTTTTTTTTTTTTCTGCCTTTCGATCTATTGTTCACGATATATTACAAATAATGTGTTAGATTTGTAGGGTTTTGAATTGTTATAGTCTTGTTTATAATTAGATGTATTCAATTTTATCTGATTTATTCAATTTGAGCATCATTTTTTAGATTCAATGACCGTTGTCTGTGAAGAACTGCGCTTTTTTTTTTTTTGCTCAATTTAACCGATTTGATTTGATTTATTGATGATAATGTATTCATAATTTAGGGTTTTGATTCCTTATAGTGTTGTTTATCAAAACATGTATTCAATTGGATGTAATTTATTCGTTTGGAGGTGGATTTTTGAGTTGAAATGGTTGATGTAAGGTGGCACTGTGAAGAACAAAACTTTTTCTTTTTGTAATCCATGATCGAATTTTTTGAAAATTTGTGATTTTTTGAAAAGATGTAAAAATCGTGATAAGGTTTTGATTATCATGAGGTATTAAACCATATTTTTAATTTTTATTATTTGAGTTTGTTGTGCATTTTTTTTTTTTTTTTATCCATGATTGAATTTTTTGAAAAATGATGATTTTCCGAAAAGATGTGAAAATCGTGACCAGGTTTTGATTATCATGAGGTATTAAACCATATTTTTAATTTTTATTGTTAAATTTTTTGTTGAAAAAATTGTATGTTGATAGATTGTTTATGCAAAAAAATGCATGTTATTATATTTTTAATGCAAAACTGTATTTTTTAAATTTGTTGGTAATGCATTTTTGAGTTGGAATGACTGACGTTAGGTGGCTCCGTGAAGAATTGTTTTTATTTGTTTTTTTTTTAATACACGATTGATTTTTTTTGAAAAATCGTGATTTTCTGAAAAGATGTGAAAATAGTGACCAAGTTTTGATTATCATGAGGTATTAAACCATATTTTTAATTTTTATTGTTGAAAAAAATTGTATGTTGATAGATTATTTATACAAAAAATGCATGTTATTATATTTTTAATGCAAAACTATATTTTTTTAATTTGTTGTTAATGCATTTTTGAGTTGGAATGACTGATGTTAGGTAGCTCTATGAGGAATTGTTTTTATTTGTTTTTTTTTTTTGTACATGATCGATTTTGTTTTCGAAAAATCGATATTTTCCAAAAAAATGTGAAAATAGTGATAAGGTTTTGACTATCATGAGGTATTAAACCATAATTTTAATTTTTATTGTTAAAGTTTTAGTTGAAAAACTTGCATGTTGATAGAGCTTATTCCATGATAATTCTATGTTTATCCTTTTGTGTGATGGTATATAGTAGTTCATGCAGGGAAAGAACATTTCAATATTCGCATATTCATGCAAAGAAATGAAATTCTTAATGGAGTACCCTCATTTCTTATTGAATTCCTAAAAAACAATATTTATAATAAATTTTAATAATTTTTTCGGATTTTTTTGAAGCTTTACTCTGACCGATTCAGATGATTCCTGATCCGGATCGTCGATTTGCCGATACGGATTGGTTTTTGAGGTGCCCGATCAAGGTCACCGATCCGCTTTTTAGACCATTGGATAGGACCCTATCAAAGTAAACAAAGCCTCACCTCAAAGCTCTCCAAAAATTGAAGAACTGGTATCATAAAACCTTCAAATCAATAATAACATCCTTGTCCATTATAGTTTTCACTAAAAAAAAACGAATTACAAGCCCTAAAAATAGTGA